AAAAAAATCAAGATATATACATACCTTTTTCATAGTATGCCTTTTAATGAAAAGGCTAAAGATATTTCATATTTAGGGAGTTTAATTTTTTGAAATTATCTTTCAACTGTTACAAGTTCTTACATATTTCATATTAAATTCTCAAATATCCCAAATCTAAGAACACACACAGTGTAAATTTCTAACTTTTCTCACCATCATTTGAAGTGTTACAAGTGTTACATTAAAATTACTCTATCAAATGATATCATTAAAAAAAAAAAAACACTACCAGTATATATCACCTAGCTTAGGTAAAATAGGTACACAGTCACGAGGTAACATTTTGAACACAGGAAACACTGTTCAGAGATGGGGGTCCTGGGCCACCAGACACAAAGACAGGTGAAGGATGAGACAAACATTTCCTGTTTTCTCCTGAGCATTGCACAGCATCACACCCAATCTTACTGAATGTATGCACTGAGAATATGGTGATGTCATTGTTTCATGAATTTCAGAAAAGTTTAAAAATGTTACTATGCGATTTACAATGACTATAGTGGACAGTTTCCAAGACCAAGCCCACGTTTCCACATCATTGTTAAATGTTAAATAACAAAGGGGCTTGGACAGTTCAGCTCCTCCTCAGCAACTCATACCGTCAACCACTGTCCCCTTTCTGTGAATGAAACTCAGCCCGACATGCTTGCTTTTCAGATAATATATGAAAATGTATTCATGGGAGGATTTTTTTTTTACCATGCTTCAGATTTATAAGGATTGAGCCAAAGTAAATAGCTATATTGCAGTGGGAAAATAACCCCCAAAGTGATCATAACCTATTTCTCTAGCATAAAATCAAGTCCACGCACCTCCTGAGGACAGGAGGGCCCAGGGCCACAGCAGAACCCCTGTCTGGTTGGGGCCAAGTGAGTGTCAGCCATCATTTCTGCAGAATGGGTTCATCCACATCTCTGGACTAAAGAATACGTACTCCTGATTCTACACACCAGTGCAAGAAGAAACCAGAGGACGGAGGTTACCGAGATGCCACTGGGGGGGTGTTCCTCGAGCCAGGGATGGGGCGGGCAGAGCCGGAAAGGACTGCACTCTCAGGGATGTGAGGTAGATCTGCATTGCAGGGCGGCAGCAGCTGCCGTTCCCACAGAGATGGCTGTTTGCCAGGCACACTGCCCGTTTCATACGCTTCCCTAATACCATGCAGCATACAGTGCCACTAATAACGCTGACACACGCTTATAGGCAACGGGCTTACAAAGGTCACACTTCAGTAAGATTGAGATCATGGACTAAAATCCAGAGCCTACACTAATCAGTATTTGGTCTCTTCCATATTAAGAATATTTGTAACTGAATAAATCAAAACTAACAGCAAGAGAAGTAACTAAGAGTGGATATCCCATTAACACTTATTGATTAGGAGGTCTAATTTCCTAAATTTCTTATTTCAATTTACTAAATTATTACAGCACTCTTATTAACGATCTATACTTCAACAGGAGTTAATAACATAGAAATCAGCAAATCTCTTTCTCACAATGGTGATTGTATTGGCCAGGTCCTGGGGGGAACCAGCAATGGGACTTACTATAAACTCATGATTGGCAGGGTGCTAGGAACATAGTTGCTTCTGGGTCAACTTGAGGTAGACTGCAATACTCTGAGGTGATAAAGGGTGCGTTGGGGTTGATCCAAATATCTTCCTAAGGGGATAGATGTGGTTGAAACTGATGAAGTTGACACCTTGTGATAAGTCACTTTACTTTTTCCTCAGACATTGACTACGTGCTTGTCTCCCCTAAAGGATGAATGAAAGCAATATAAACTCCAGGTTTATTGTTATAAGAAATGGATTTTTCTTTCAAGTCAGCAATGGGATTGCAGCTAACACATTCCTACTTCTCTCCCATTTGGTCCTGTTCTTTGTCAAGCCAAAGGCCAAACCCACCGACCTCACCACTGGGCACTTGGCCCACATCCACCTGGTGACGCTGACCATCATACAGATCACAGCCACAGAAGACTCTGAGTTCCAGAATCTCTGGGATGACATCACATGTAAAGCAGTCATCTATTCCTACCGGGTGCTACGAGGCCTTTCCCTGGGCAACACCTGCCAGCTGAGTGTCCTCCAGGCCATCACCCTCAGCCCCTGGAGCTCCTGGTTTGCCAAGTTTAAACAGACCTCCTCCCATCACAGCACGAGTACCTTTTTATTCGTCGAGTCTTCAGTTTGTCCTTGAGTGCTTGCTTCGTAAACTCCATTGTTGCCAACACAAATCGTACGTCCAGGAGTCTTATGTGAGGAGTGATTGCTTCCTTCACCCCAGTGGAACAGGGAGTCCTAACAGCACGAATTTGCTCCTGAAGGATAATCAACCTTCTTGATGAGTTCTAACAACTCCTGGCTGTGTACTTTTTGTTCTCCTAATCTGCCCCTTTGCCTTTCCTTTCCCCTCTACGGTGTGACCTGTCCTAGTGAGAACTCTTTCAGAACTTTATGATTTTTCCTCTGACTTACATCATTATATTCAAAAGCTCAAATTCCTTTGAAGACAGTTGGCTTTCTCTGGTGTGGAAAATGTGATTTGGTGACTTACTAACATGAGGAGAGCAGGTGCCATCTGTGCCACCTCTGACCTGCACTGTGCTGTGCCAGTCAGGACTGTGCGTGAGGAGGAATGGGTTGGGAGATGGTGCCAGAAGCACTTTTATCTTCTTAAATGCTCTCCTCTACCAGGACATTGCCTGGAAAAATCAATGTACCAATAGAAATCATTACCTTTACTTACATTCCTTCCCTATTTACATTATAAAAAAACCCAAGATGTGGGTATCTAACGTATGTGCTCCAACAGGAGCAGCAGGGTAAACTGGGACGAGGTGCAGACAGCCGAGTGAGGGGGCTTGTGTCTGGGCGTGCCCTTGAATGCTTCCAAATGTGTCATTTTCCTTGCTCAACAAACAGAACAGGAAAAGCTTTCCAACTGCTTCTGCACGATTTCCCTTAAAGGAAAAAAAAAGGCTTATCCAGAAGTCTTGAATAATGATCCACCTAACGTGATTTCCTGATGAAATCCCAATATTGTGGCATTGCCCTTCTAAACTCTGAGTAACCTGAAGGTATGTACACCTTGGCCACAGTAGAACAATGAGCCAACAAGCCCCTAGAGCAGTTTTACACTATTATATACTTGCAAAGTTCATTTATTTACTGGAAATGCAGAGTTAGTGAGAAGGGGAAGAGAGAATTTCCAGCCTATCACTTTAACTTTCATTGCCATCTTCTAAAGTTATTGTAATACATATTAAATACCATTATTTAAACTAAAATACTATCAGTGTAGTTTGCCTGGCTGAGGTGAGAGTTACTAGAGGCTGGCATTTTCAGTTCAGGAAAGAGGAGGCTGACTAGTCACAGCTTGTGCTTAATGGAGGCACAGGACCCACGATTAACAAAGACAGGTGGATGCCAAGACAAATACTTGCCTGCATTCTCTGAGCACGTTACAGGACCTAAGCTTATCTTGTTAAATGTATCATTGGAGAGGACTGCATCATTTATGTGACCAGACCTTTGAGAAAAGGTTGACATTCAAAAATGCTGCTATGGAACTTCCACTGTAAACTGGAAATTTCCCAAAGTTCATACCAAGATCAGCTACTTTGAATTGCTACTAAAGGTATTGGTGTTTAAGCACTCAGCCTCTCTAAGAAACTCTAAGGATACAGGTCAACAGGATACTTTGCTGTGGATTCAGGGAAGCCAGACACACTTGCTTTCCTGATATACAGATACAGAAGTACTTTCCTGGGTTTCTTTACAATATTTAGGGCACGTAGTTGTAGGCTGTGCAACAAAGTCCATAGCTACATTGCACAAGGGACCACCAGTAGGTCATAACCAAATGCTCCAACATGACTAACAAATACAAGTGCTTTCCACAGTGAGGAGACATCAACACCTGGTTCCCATGGAGATCCACCTGTGTGCTGGAGATAGAGGAAGTGGCCACTCATTTCTGTAGATAGGAATGCCTGTCTAACTACATTATGAAAATATTTGCTGCCATTTCCATATGCCAGGCAATAGGGAGAGGAGATCAGAACAGGTATTTTCAGAGCCTGCTATTGTGGTGTTCATCTTCCCCTGTTCCTTAACACAGGGTCAGAGCTGGAAAGTGAATGGATGATACTGTCAAGGCAGGATCATGAGGAAGAAACACCTTCAGAACAATAACAGCTGCAATTTCCACAGAGGCCATTGTTCTCCATAAACATGCCCATCTCACATTTACCTGGCATTCCTTCACACGAAGCATCTCTAGTAAGTAACATGCTCACCTGTATTGAAGAAGAGTCTCCTGGGGCTCACACATCAAGGGACAGACCACACGCTGAGTCAGTGTCCGAGCACAATGTCTTCAGAAGCAGCATTGGTCTCTGTTGTGATACAAATGTTCTCTGGAAAGAAAGAAACCAAAATAAGCCTAATGGTGGGTGAGATAAGACTATATGCATGGACATACCCTAGACACACACTGCATATGGGGGCTATTTTCCAGTTCCCTGAAATGCATATTGGAGTTCATTACATATTATAACATTCCCAGTACGGATGCAGCACTTACCTGAATTTTGCAAACCTAAAGGGAAATAAGTCATTGCTCTTGACTTGGAGAAACTAAAACTAGGGAGAACGAGTAAGGGAACACCTTTCAGGTCAGGGCAAGTTGATAGTTCAGATCCTCGGGCAGTCCACAAATGGGACATTTGATCAAATCAAAACTGGTATGAATAGAGACAGGACTAGGGTGACTTCTGGCAGTGTATGAGCTAGACTGCAGGACACTCAGTGACAACTGCAGTGGAATTGATCCAGATACCTTCAGGAAGGAAGTAGTTGTGGCTGAAACAAGAAGGAAGAGGCAATAATTGGGATGGATAGTCTCTCATTCTTTCTCCTTAGACATTAAATATATTTTTGCACCAAGAACATGAGTAAAACAAGTATATTTTCTAGCGTTAAGGTAGAACAAAATTTCATTTTCTCAGAAATTGGCATTGGGATTCCAGCCAATGCCTTCCTCCTGCTCTTCTACATCCTCTCATTCCTGCTCAAGCACAAGCTCAAGCCCACCGACCTGACCATCGGGCACTTGGCCCTCATCCACCTGGTGATGCTGATCATCATGAGGGTCATAGCCATGGATGTGTTTGAGTTCCAAGAGATGTGGAATGACATCACCTGTAAAACAGTTTTTTACTTCTACCTGGTGCTGCGGGGCCTCTCTCTGTGTACCACCTCCCTGCTCAGTGTCCTCCAGGCCATCACCCTCAGCCCCAGGAGCTCCTGGTTGGCCAAATTCAAACAGGCATCTTCCCGTTACAGCCTGTTTGCTTTTATTTTCTTGTGGATCTTCAATTTGTCCATGAGTGCTCGTTTCTTAATCAACACTGTCGCTTCAGCAAATCATACATCCAAATCGATAAGGTTTGTCACTAATTCCTGTTCTATTAGAACCCTCAACTACTCTCTCAGCAACATATTTGACGTATTGTGGATCTTCCGGGACATCTTCCTTACAGGGCTCATGGCCCTCTCCAGTGCCTACATGGTGACCCTCCTGTGCAGGCACAAGAGGCAGTCCCAGCACCTCCACAGCACCAGCCTTTCTCCAAGAGCCTCCCCAGAGCTGAGGGCCACCCGCACCATCCTGCTGCTCATGGGCGTGTTTGTTCTGATGTACGTGATGGACTGCATTGTGTACGCTTTTTCATGGGTGTGGAGGAAGAGTGACCCAATTCTCCTGTGTGTCCATATGTTGGTGGGCATTGGCTATGCCTCCATTGGTCCATTGGTACTAATCAGCAGAGAAAAGCGAATCATCAGGCTTTTAAAATTCATTGTGAGATGGTAAATCAGCAATTACTTCCTCAAGAAAAAGTAATCTCTCTTAGATGAGCAAATACATTGATCTCAAAATAACTAATGACAGCCCACAGGATATTTTCTCTGTGCTACTTTAAATATGTGGCATTAAGATCTCCAAGTTGACTGCATAGTGAGAAGCCACAGTATCTCCAGCCATAGAAAGGAAGGGCCACGTTCCCAGGGACTGGAATGGCTGGAATTTTCAGTAGAGAAAGGACAGACCACAATAGGAGATCCACGCAGCATCAGCGTTGAAGTACAGAGACACACACACAGCTGATAACATCAAAGCCTTGTGGCTGGGAAGTGCTGTCTTCACACAGAAAGGGGAAGGGGGCTGCCATGACCACTGCCCCAGGAGCTGGGCCGAGGAAGCAGCCCAGCTTCCCACTGGATGTAACTCCTGCCTTGTGAGGCCTGGCTGACTACATGGCTCTGTGACTTCCTTCCTCTCTCAAACCCAAGCACCAGATTTTGATGAGGTAGAGCTCTCACTGAGTGCTGCCATGACTCAGTGAACAGCAGGGTGTTCTGCCACTGCTGGAGCCCACTAGGGCCCAGGATGCAACAACCTTCAGGGTGGAGACCATACCCTTGTACCCAATTACTCCAGGAATTCTGTATATGCACAAATGTGGGTTGTAGCTTAGTTCCTGTGTGCCTGACCAGTCTTTGGACATTGTGGGTAGATCCTACAGAGGCGTAGGGAGATGCTCATGTGCATGGGTGAGGCACACTAACGCCATAGCTCACATTAGGCCTTAGTGAGCTGGCCCTCGTGGGCATGGAGAAGTGCAGGAACTCCCCAGAAATCTCCAACATCCCTTCCCCCTGCTAACCGGAAGTAGAAGCCCTGCCACTCACCCAAGGGGAATGTCAGTGTGCATTCTTGCCTCGCATCCATGAGGTGACCAGCCTCCCTGGTTTCTGCCAGGACACAGACCCAGAATCCAACATAATGTTTCTCAGACATGGAGAAGGGCCGAAAACTTATCTAAGAATGCAGCATGAAGTCTAAAACACAGAAACTGCGCCTCCAAAGATCCCCTGATATGTGACAAAAGGAGAGAAAATTCACACGTGCACACACATACAATCAGTCAAGGAAGGGAATATGTCTCAAAAGGAATGCAGTTCATTAATATTACATTGTTAAGAAGGGGAGACTGAGGAATTCAAAAGAATGATAAGGTGACTCAAAAACTGTTCAGTGAATGAGAAATACATGACATGGACAAGAAATTCAAAGAAAGATAAATTTTTAAACACCAGAAATGTAAGAAACGACAAATTTAGAGAATCAAAAATAGGCATAAAGGCTTTAACAACAGATTTGGTGAGGCAAGAAAACGTACATTTCATCTGGAAGACAGGTCTAGAAGTCAGAGAAATAGAAATAGGAGAGTGAAAATAACATTTGAGCCTTGCAATAAAAGGTACAGAGCATGAGGGGAGCTTAATTAGAAAGACTAAAAATAACATTTGGACAAACAGAATACCATGAAATGACAAAACAAGAGAATCCCAAATTTCTTGAAAATGGGGAAACCTCCCATATTCATGGATTGTAAGAATTATGTCAAAATATCCACATTATCCAAAGTCACTCACAGAGTTGGTATGATACCCACCAAAACACCAAAGGCTTTCCTTACAGAAGTAACTCTATAACAAAACAAACCAGTTAAGAAATGGGCAAGATATTTATAGGCAACAGGGTAATGCACATAAGAACTACAATGAGATATTATCTGATCCCAGAAAGAATAGCTAACATCAACGATGCTACTGGTGAGCATGTGGAGAAAAAGGTTCACTCACACACAGTTGGTAGGAATTCAACCTGGTACAGCCACTAAGGAAGGCACTCTGTGGAGTCCTCAGAAAACAGACAATAGACTTGCCAAATGACCCAGCTATCCCATTCCTGGCAATAGGCCAAAGGAAATGAACTCATGTGAAAAGTCACTTAACCCTCATGTTTGTGGCACAATAATAATTTATAATAGATTACATATGGAATCAACGGAATCACCATCAGTTGATGACTGGATAAAGAAAATGATAGGTATCCATGATGGACTACTATTCAGTGATTAAAAAGAAATGGGACCCTGACATTTGCAACAGAATGGATACAACTGGTGACCATCATGTGGTAAGTGAGGAAGCCAGACCGAAAAAGACTATACCCCCATGTGTTCTCTTATCTGTGGTAGTTAGGATCTAGCTAGAGCACAAAAAATGTGTGGAGGTCATATGTTTTGTTACATATTTACAAATACTGCTGCACTGAATTATGCCATGTTAAATGAAAAATACGCTCTCATTTCACGAGTGATAAAAACAAAGGTGGATACACTAGTGAACACTCGGAGTATTAGTAATGCTTTGAGACTGGAATGGGTTGTAAGCGTATTCATATTACTACAGCTCATTTACCCGCACACTTCTGTGCATTTGTGTGTGTGCGCATTTGTTTTTTAAACCCGTTATGGATTTAAATTGGAGAAATTTTACTTATTTCACAGCACGGATTTAGGAGTAGAGTGATACTTCCCACCATTCCTTCCTTCCTGCCCATGTCCCCACTTACTCTGCTCCTTCCCAATTTCCTTCTGTTCTGTATTTTCATTCACCATACCATTTCTTGCTATGTATAATATATTTCAGTAGAATGCCTGAAAATGGGGGGGCGGGAGGAGGGAATTGGGGAAGGGATAAAGGAAATGCCAGGAGCCTATGGAACTGTATCATTAAATGATAATAATAATAATAATAAAATGTAAAAAAAAATACCTGAAAATATGCATGAAAAATTTTTGTTAACCTGTTAAATTGTCTCTATTTTAAAGATTTATTTTTATTATTTTTTTTATTGGAAAGGCGGATATACAGAGAGGAGAGACAGAGAGGAAGATCTTCCATCCCATGATTCACTCCCCAAGTGAGTGCAACGGGCCGATGCTATGCCGATCTGAAGCCAGGAGCCTCTTCCAGGTCTCCCACACGGGTGCAGGGTCCCAAAGCTTCAGGCTGTCCTCGACTGCTTTCCCAGGCCACAGGCAGGGAGCTGGAAGGGAAGCGGGGCTGCCGGGATAGAACCGGCGCCCATATGGGATCCCGGGCGTGCAAGGCGAGGACTTAACCACTTGCGCCACCGCGCCGGGCCCCTAAATTGTCTCTATTTTAATACAATGCCAAATTCCTGCAGTCCCAAAGGCCCAATTCCAATCAGAAATATATCTCAAGTTTGTACCAAGTCTAAAATTTCAGGTGGCAAAACAGAAGTGAGTGATAACAGATGGACATGGGGACTAAGGAAACGCAGGGGGAAGGGAACCAAGGGGTGAAAGGACAGTGTGGAGGCGACCGTGGTTATGGTGTCACCTGTGCTATGTGTGCTGAGTATCAGACGTTTGCTCTAAATATGTATCATTTATCTCTGTGATAATACCAGAAATTCGAAATAGTCCTACAACCAGAAGGTATAATGCACTTTGTTATTGAAAAAACTGAATTAGGACCTGAAGGTGTGCCACAGTAAGTTAAGCCTCTCCTGCAGCACCAACAACCCATCTGGGCACCAATTCTTTCCCTGGTTGTTCCATACACAATCCAGATCTCTAATAATGGCGTGGGAAAGCAGTATACAATTGCCTACATTCTTGGGACTCTGTAACCTCACAGGAGATGCAAAGAAACCCCTGAGACCAGACCACAGAAGGGCCCAGCTCTGGCCATTGCAACCATTTGGTGAGTGAATCATGGATGGATTCTCACCCCTTCTCTATCTCACCCCTTCGCTATATACAGTTGTGTCCGAAAAAAATAAATCCTTAAAAACAAAATTTGGAACAAGGAAAATGCAGAATCAGGCCACTTCAATTAATTCTATCAAGTGTTTACAATTGTATGCATAATAGTCCATCTTCCCTTTGGAGAATGGTGGTACAACTAAGACTCCCTTGATACCCTGTTCCAGGCACCTATCTCTTGAGGTCCTCTGCACCTTAAAACTACCCACACTACAGGTAATTTGTGACTCCTCAGTACCATCCAGCCTGAAACTAGTGATGGATGGACAGTCCATGCACCTGAAACAGGTGGGGGTGTGACACAGGTCTGTGGAGGCGTGGAGATAGAGGTCTTGTGGGTGGACACGGCACTGGTTAAAGGAAGAGAGTGAAAGCACACCTGCTGTTCCATACGACGACAGATACCATGATGTCCAGACCTCAGAGATGTCATTGTCATACACTCCAACGCCGCCACCAGTCACTCGACAGATCTAAAAGGACACTTCTGAATCTTTGACAGTAATAGGCAACTATTAGTACCTTCCGTTTCTTCACTGTTAAAACATCGTTAGCCTCATGATCGCTGTTATGATGGACACATCCCGTTGTTGAAGCACAGGCTAAGTGTTGACACTGTTCACTTATGAAATCAACCCTCAGTCAAGGTATACAGTCATGAGAATACACCACGTTCTGGGCCATGCACACACCTCACGAAGTCACACAAATGATCTTTGATCACATTGTAATTAAATAGCCACCAAAAACTAAAGGCATACTCAATTATTTGTGAATGGATCACTACTCAGTAACATGAGTTCAGGAATGACAAGGGAAATCAGAAAAAAAAATGTAAGAATTATGAAAACTGAAATACATATTACAATAGATGGAACATAAGGCAAGGACTGCCTAGGGGGAAATATATAGCATTAATGATATAACAAATGGTGATCCTCAAATAATTATCTGAATTTCTACCTTCAAAATACAGCAAAATAGTAAATTAGGCAGATCCTCGGTAAAATGAAGATAAAATTCTAGTCATGTAAGAAATAAAAATGAAACATATTATAGAAGTCATCATTTGGAGCAGACATAATTACCATGGCAGCATAGGTAGGGATATTAACAAATGCATTGCAGATAAGTCAGGCAAAACAACTTGTGTATCAACGGAATATCCTGCTATATCAGAAAAATGTCAGTCCACCCAGATTGGTTCAGAAACTCACCAGGATGTTAAAACTAAAAGTATAAATCTCCTGGATAAATGTATTAAAATTAATCATGATAATATGGCATCAGGCAGAACCTCTTACAGGTAACACAATGTGTAAAGGACAAATGAACTGGATGAGTTGGACTTAGAGGAATTACAGAGCAAGCGCAAAAGGCAACACAGCCGCCACACTGGGCAGAGAACGTCCTCTCAGTCCATCCTTACTGCTATAAATAATCTCAGTCTGGGTGGCTCATGAACGTCTATTCCAGCTTTCCTGGGGACTGGGATGTCCAAGGTTGAGGAGCCAGGAGATTTAGTTCCCACTTCAAAAGCAGCCTCCTCCTCCTCTGTCACATGGGAATCAAGAGCGAGGTCTCGGGTGTTTGACTAGGGCACTCATCCCGTCCACAAAGTCTCCACCCTCATGACTGATAATATACCAAACTACGCACCTCCTTCCATCGCAGTGTGGTTAGGATGTCACACACGGATTGGCGGAGAGACTTTCACTCTGTAAGCATCCCACTGATCACGGCCTGAGTGGGCCCAGGGGACTGAGGGCCACATTCAAGTTCACACACTTGTATTAAACCCTCAGTCTGCTTTGAACACAAGCTGGGAGACTAACAGGGCTTTCCTGGGCATTTACTTTCACCTCATTGAGACGAACAGACTGAGTCTTCCATCCTTTAAATGGTTTTTCTCCTAATGAATTCAATAAAATGAACACATAATTGCTCCAGACCAATCTGTCTCATGGCTCTGCTTTGGGAGAGTCATAACTAAAGCCCAGGGCTGCCACACTGCGGGGAAATCCTGGCTTCCCTCCCATGCTCCATTAACAGCTCAGTCCTCATTTTTATTGATGCAGAGGCCTGGAGGCATGGGCTGCTCCGGGCATCAGCCACAGAGCGCACAGGACCGTGCCTGTGTGCCGAGGTGGAGGCTCAGCTCACCGACGGAGACGAGCTGCAGTTTCATGTCACGTGTCCAGCCGCAGCAAGCATCACTAGAGAACACAAAAATGACATGGACTCCAAAAGGACTTTGCTTCCTTTCCCCACACATTTAAGAGGTCTTTATCTGTCTTTATCTGAGATACAACTTGAAATCTGAAATAAATCTTAGATATCATGCATTAGGAACATCACTCAAAGAACAGGTGCTGCATGAGGTAGAGGATGCAGTGGCCAGCTGCCCTCTCGCTGCAGGGAGAGGACTCAGCCTGTGGGTCCTCCAGGAAGGTAGTAAGGATGTCTCGGGCCTAGGCAGAAGCCCCGCTCACTGGGGACTGAGTTGGGACTCGGGAGCTCTCAGGATCAAAATGAGAGAACCTGGAGTTATCTACAAAGCTGGATCCCTCCTGATCCTCACACATGTGTCAGAGAACTCAGAGGAAAGTTTTGAGCACGGCCCTCCCCAGGTGGCTGTTGGCCAGGAGAGAATACAGGAAGATGAGGAGACAGGTGGCATGTTTCTCTGGGGACTCTGTCCTGGGCTCCCCAGCGTGATCTTGTCACCTTTCTCAGACACCAGGATGCCATCCACAGAGAGCTGAGCTCAGGGCGGCCTTTCCTTAAAGCCGCAGGTTCCTCTCAGGTGCTGGACTCCCACCGTCCCTCTGGTAAGTGGCTCTTTATTGCACAGATGGGGATTCTGGGTTGGGTGGACTCCGGTCAGGGTGTGAAGGGGGCACAACGAGGGGGTTGTATATCCTCAGAAGAAACGTAGGCTCTCACAGACCTCTGCAGCACGAGAACGTTCTGAGCAGCACAATGGGGAATGTATCTTGGGAATTTTTGTCTTTGGCAACTCACAAAATCTGTCCATTTTTCATGTAAAACAGTTACCTTTAGTTGCTCATCATTTCTTTGAATGAAATGGTGTTTGTATAAACCCCCCCAAAGACAACGTTTTCTAAACATTTTCAACTAAAACTTCACTCATACAGCTCAACTTCACTTTATAGTCTGAACTGAAGCTCACCCGCACAAGAGAACTCCAGGATTTCACCAAAACAAAAGGTTAAGTATATTGTCACATTTTAAAATTGATGTATATTTTTCCATCATGTGCATATTAATGAAAACCTTTAAGACCCTTTACATATGCAATGTGTTAATAGTTTAAAAATCAAATGTTCAATATTTTGAAGTTGTCAGCTATTGCAAAGAACATTAGTAAACAGAAGTTTATTTATCAAGTTTTAATTTTCTCCAGTCTTTTAAAGTTACACATTACAGTGTTAGTCCATGTCTGTTAAATGTTATTATGGTAAAGCAGCAGGGGAAGTGTGTCCTAACTGAAGTGATACTGACACACAGCAAATAGGTGTGCAGAGCAGATAGGACCACGCAGAGCAGGTGCGTGAAGGAACACAGGACCGGCAGGATGATGTCCTCCTTTCACCTGAACATACCAAAGGATCAACCCTTATCTTGCTAAATATTTCAGTGGAGAGGAGTATGCCATTTGTTTGGCCAATATTTCAACTTAACTTGAAAAACACTGCTAAGGAATTTCCATTGTAAGAAATAGGAAATTTCACCAAGTTGGAGCAACTTTCCAAATAGTCTCTGTATTGTTAAATGCTAAACAGCAGTGGGGCTGAAACAGTTTAGCTAAGCAACTCAAATATGGAACCACCATACTCTCATTTGCAGTGGGTACAATTTAATCTGATTCTTGATTTTCACATGATGAACATATAGAATGGATTATTGTGATATAATCTCAATGTTGTACGCATCATCATTTGTAAGGTTTGAAACTAAGTAAACCGCTATATTACACAGGGGAATCATTCCATTCCTACTTCCCACCAAGTTCTCCAGCCTGAACTGAGAGCACTTGGGCCCCATGCACGCCTGACCCGAGGAGGACATGAAGGCTCGGGGTTCCATGGAGAGCCAGTTGTTGAGCCAAGAACTGTCCCATCATCTCAGCAGCACAGAACCATCGTCTGCTGAGACTGTGATCAGATTCACTGAGGCTTCAAAGCCAGGAAGGAAGAGAAACTGCCACACAGAGGCTGTTCAGAGCCTGTGCTGTGGGGTTCACTTCCCTGATCCTGCAGGAGGGGCAGAGCCTGTGCTGTGGGATCACTTTCCTGACCCTGTGCAGGAGGACAGACCCTGCTGCTGTTGGGGTTCACTTCCCTGATCCTGCAGGCAGGGGCAGAGCCTGTGCTGCTGTTGGGGTTCACTTCCCTGATCCTGCAGGCAGGGGCAGAGCCTGTGCTGTGGGGTTCACTTCCCTGATCCTGCAGGCAGGGGCAGAGCCTGTGCTGTGGGGTTCACTTCCCTGATCCTGCAGGCAGGGGCAGAGCCTGCTGCTGTTGGGGTTCACTTCCCTGATCCTTCAGGCAGGGGCAGAGCCTGTGCTGTGGGGTTCACTTCCCTGATCCTGCCAGCAGGGACAGAGCTGGCAATTATAAAAGGACTGCCCCCTCTCAGGGATGCTCATGAGGAAGACACCATAACATCAACAGCTGTGATTTCCACAGCGATCACTGTTTGCCAGGCACGACCCTGGACCGCACATTCACCTATTATCCTGGCACACACAGCATCTCTATTAATCATATGCTTACCCACAGCTACAGATCCTTGGGGCTCAGACAGTAAAGCGGACAGCAAAAGGTCACAGAATTAACTTCTGACTCTGCACTAGCCAGCATTTATTCTCTTAACAATATTTGTCTGGAAGTAAATAAACCAAAATAAAACTACAGACAGACAATAATTCCCGTGGGCACCACTAACACATACTGCATATGTGGGCTTGATTTCTACTGTCCTAAAATTCCCATTTGAATTCACCCCAAATTATGGAACTCTAACTTGCCAGAACTGTATCTGGATTTTTGCAGATGAAAGTTACCTGCCCTGATTTGAAAACTAAAAACAATTTCAGGCAATGATTTTCACATGGCAATTTATTTGTCCAGGTATGTTGGAGTCCAGCAAGGGGATGTATTGTACAGTCACAAGTGGCATCTAGGAAGTTTCCGTCTAAGTAGTTCCCATCAGATTGTGAGTTGGAGTTCATCATTCCCAGGTTGAAGCAGTGCTTTGGGATATATTTACACATCTTTATGAGGAAGCAGTAGTTCTTCACATGGACAAATGAGTTCATTATTATGAAAAGTAATTTTTCTTGCATTTTCATTTATTACATGCCTGTAGTCCTCCAAAAAGATGAGTAAAAAATATATATTTTCTCATTTTTTTACCGTAAGAAATGCTTTTTCTTCTGAAATCAGCATTGGGATTCCAGCCAATGCCTTCCTTCTGCTCTCATTCTTTCTGAGGCACAGACCCAAGCCCATCGACCTCACCATTGGACACTTGGCCTTCATCCACCTGGTGATGCTGATCATCATACGGATCATAGCCACAGATGACTTTGAGTCCCAGAATCTCTGGGATGACATCACATGTAAAGCAGTCATTTACTCCTACCAGGTGATGCGGGGCCTCTCCCTGTGCACCACCTGCCAGCTGAGTGTCCTCCAGGCCATCACCCTCAGTCCCTGGAGCTCCAGGTTGGCCAAGTTCAAACAAACCTCCTCCCATCACATCCTGTGTGGCTTCTTCTTCCTCTGGGTCTTCAATTTGTCCATGAGTGCTCGTTTTTTAAACTCCATTGTTGCAACCACACATTGTATGTCCTGGAGTCATATGTTTGTCACTAACTCCTGCTGTCTTTGGCCCCTCAACTACTTACCCAGGCACACATTTTCCATGTTGGGGATCTTCCGGGACATCATCTTCACAGGGCTCATGGCCTTCCTGAGTGCTTACATGGTGACTCTCCTGTGCAGGCACAAGAGGCAGTCCCAGCACCTCCACAGCACCAGCCTTTCTCCAAGAGCCTCCCCAGAGCTGAGGGCCACCCGCACCATCCTGCTGCTCATGGGCGTGTTTGTTCTGATGTATGTGATGGACTGCACTTTGTACACTTTTTCAGGGATGTGGAGGACCACTGACCCTGTCCGACTGTGTGTCCAGGTGATGGTTGGCAATGGTTATGCCACCATTGCTCCATTGGTGCTCATCAGTAGTGAAAAACAAATAATCACCTTTTTCAAAACTATGTGAGAGTAGAATACCAAGCATTTGATTATTCATTAGAAAATAGCGCAGCCTTCCTTGAGCATGTACTTTACTCTAAAATTATTCCAGCTGTGCACAGGATGTGCTTCTGGGGCCACTGAAATTTGTGGAGCCAACTTTTTTTTTCTGAAAAAGTATTTACTTTGTCATATTAACAAGTAAATAATAGATCATTTCATCTATAATAACTACTGGGGAAACTCTAGGGGTTCAGTCCAAATCAGATACCTAATAAATATAGCTTGCACTGTGTTTTCACTTAGAAGTTAAACATAGGTGAGATTTTGGACATGGGGTCTGAGCACATGCAGGAGGGCACACAGAAATCGTTGTGGAAGAGACTGTTGTTATACCCACAGGATCCATTGCCTTGTGAGCGGACAGGGCACAGAGGCATACTGCCCTACTCTCTCTAGCCTCAGTGGGACCATGCTCACCTCTGAGTTGAGACGATGCTTGGAGAGTGTGAGGTCCAGCACACCGCCTTGCATTAGGGACACAGAGAAGCAGACTTGGGTTGTCATCAAAACACAGGTCACTTTCACCATCGTGGCTTTACTTGAGCTTCTCGGTGGGTTCAAGACGGCACTCTTGTGCTGGGATCTGTGCAGCGGATGTGGGGGAATGTGAAGAGTATTGTTCCATTGCAGGCAGGGCCACAAGGAGTTTCCTACTGCATGGCAGGGGCTGGCGGATGTCTCCACAACCACCCGAATGCAGTCCCACCTTCCTTTGCATGGACACGGGACCGCCCTGCAGAAGAATTCTAATCCATTCAGGCATTGTTTGCTACTGTGGAGTTGGCTTTTTACTCAATGTGAGCTTGGAGGTTAATGTCAATAATAACGGCTTGCAAAAGGGCCTTTTATTATTCATACTGTCTTGGCTGTACATTGACCTTTTGCTAATCAGGGGACCTGTATTTAGGGTTTCATTGTTTCCTTGATCTTTAGGTTCTCCTTTTCTTTGTGATACAAGATTGAGTTGTAGAATAAAAATTGTAGTAGGAACTTAAAAAAATAAAAACAAAAAAAATTTTCAAAAAAAAAAAAAAGGAACTTCTATTGTTTTTAGGTGAAACAAATGGCAGAATTATTCTTGGATAAACCCATTTGACCATGACTTCAAAAGTCTGTGCCAGGGTTTATGATTGCTTCTGTATAAATAAAAGGGACAGCTTTCTCGCATTGTCCATTATGATCCTGGAATTGTAGTGGTCCGTTTCGTTCCTCTTTGTGCCTCATCTGCACACCCTCCTCAAGTTCCGAACTCAGCTGGAGTTGGACTCTGGCACTCTTGGGTCTTTTCAGCTGAGTAAGCATCGCACACTGATATCCTCAGATTGTTTATTTTGGAAAACATAAGCCTCACTGTCACTGTGGGATCGCACACATCTTACCCACTGGGGTTGCCCTGATGCACTGATACCACGAACTGAAAGCTGTGACATCAAAGCTGGGACAATGGGTGTTGCTATGAAATGAAGCTATGTTCTGATCATGCAGCAATCTCCATAGTCTGACTGAGTTTGAGTCACTTTAAGTACACTTTGAGTACAATAAAGTACTTTGATGCTCAGGAAATGAAATAGCAGAGAACAACTAGAAGGATTTTGGGAAAACCTCAGCCATTTGTGAATGAATCAGTGCACTTCTAAATAAGATAAGTAAGAGTCACACGGGAAATCAGACGATGTGTAGAACTGAACGATGTGTAGAACCAAACCAAAGTGTTACTTTGGGTGACATTTGTGTGACATTGCATAGAATGAAATATGCCCCAAAAGGGAATGAAATACACAGTAGTGAATGGTATTCTAGCCATGAGTGGTCTCCAAATGGTTGTCTGAAGTGTTACTTTCAGAAACTGAAACACAGAAGATTCAGCAATAAATTTGTTCAAAGATTAAAATCAATAAGTAGGCGGAAAGGCACCAGGTAACACTCAGTGCTAAGGAGGAGACATCACCATGAAGTATATCTCACTACAGTCATTACCAAAGAGACGTAAAGGGACTATGTGGTACCACAGCAGAACTATCGTCACCGCATGCCAGCAGCACATGTGGGCACTGATTCATAACCTGGCTGCTCCACTTCTGATCAGCTCCCTGCTAATGCACCTGGGAAAGCAGCAAAATATGACCCCAATACTTGGTCCCTTGCTACCCATGGGGGAGACTAGGATGAAGCTCATGACTCCTGGATTTGACCTTGGCTGTTGCAGCAATCTGGAAAATGAACCAGCAGATAGGAAAACTCTTTTTGTCTCTATCTCTCTTTATTTTCAAATAACTAAATAAATTTTTACAATGTAATTAAAAATTGTCAGCTATTTTGCTGTAAAATAAATGTGCTGTAAACGGTCTTTACCATGAGACTTAAGAGACACTGATCAAAGACAATGAACGGGCCACAAAGCGATGGAAAGGTTTTCCATGCTTATTACTTGGAAAAGTATCTGTAAAAAAGTCCACATTACAATGACAGATTGAATGTAACCTGCAAATACCAATGACAGATTTCAGAGAACTACAAAGAAAAACAACCAAATCATGAAAGACCCCAAAACAAAAACAGTATTGAGCTTGAACAAAGTGAGACGCATCACACTGCCAGGCTCCAAAATACACTATAAAACTATACTAACTAAGCAGCACTAAGTATTAGCACCAAGGAGAAAAAAAAAGACACATAGATCATGGAACCTGAGTTGCTAGAATTAGATATTCACACCTACAACTCCAGCATACTGTTAGGAATGTAAGTTTCTTTTCCTCTGAAAACAGAAGTTCCTCTACAAACTAAAAACAGAGCTATCCTATAGCGGGACCTAGCAATCCCACTATTGTGCTGTTGGGGTCACTATCTGGGAATATGCCAAAATTTCTCATATGTGCAGGCACCTGTGGCTTGGCACACTAAACCTGCCTGGCTCAGCTTCACTGAGTCAGGAAACGGTGGGAACTTCTACCACTCCTCACAGAGGATCACAGAGGAGTCACCTTACCATGACACTGATCAGCACAAAAGAGAATCAGGTCTGGGGACAGATTCTGTGGGGGATATGTGGGAAATTGTGGGCACTCTTCTGCTAGGCTGCAGCTGGATAGTGGGGTCAGCTGGACTGAGCGAGGCTGCAGCATGCCTCGGTGTATAAAAGTTGAATAGGGGGCCTGGCGCGGTGGCGCAGTGGTTAAGGTCCTCGCCTTGCACGCCCGGGATCCCAATGGGCGCCGGTTCTATCCCGGCAGCCCCGCTTCCCTTCCAGCTCCCTGCTTGTGGCCCGGGAAAGCAGTCGAGGACGGCCCAAGGCTTTGGGACCCTGCACCCGCGTGGGAGACCCGGAAGAGGCTCCTGGCTTCGGATTGGCATAGCATCGCCTGTTGCACTCACTTGGGGAGTGAATCATGGGACGGAAGCTCTTCCTCTCTGTCTCTCCTCTCTGTATATCCGCCTTTCCAATTAAAAAAATAATAAAAATAAATCTTTAAAAAAAAAAAGTTGAATGGGATGTGGGATGTCTGGACAAGTCTGCTGCACATACCAGCATGCTCAGGAACCATGGCTGGGGATGGACTTCGTGGGGGATTATCAGGGGTCACTCCACCTGGTCTGCAGTTCCCGTTGGTGTGTGTGAGGGCCACATATGTACTGGGCAGGGTTGGCTAGGCCATAGCATGCATTGATTTGCATAAAAGATGGGGCTGGAGACAGAAGTGACCCACTGATGTGGGGGTTGGACTGAGCATGACCCCCTACTGACTGCCATACATAGGAGTTAGGTCTGGGGTCACCTTAGACAACGTTTCTTTGAGGATCTCCCCCACTTGGACCCCTAGATGCAAACTCCTACCATGGGAAAATCACAGGACTGTGGTCTGACCATGGAGTCCATGTGTTAGAATGGGGCCGCCTCAGTTGCTGCAGACTGTGCAGTGGACAGTATGCTTAGAAGCACATGGTGAATATGGAGTTCACTGTGGCATGCAGAGAACATCTAGTATCATATAGAGGCTAGAGGACAGAATAAATGGGACAACTCTCTCCCAGCCAAGCTTTGGTAGCAGGTTTCTGGACAAATGGAGACTCTAAGGTGGATGATATCAGCCAATGGACCTTGAAAGGATTTCCTCATCCTTGGTGCAATAAATAAAAAGCATTTCAGAACTATTGAAACCACTGGGAAAGAACCTTTGGAGCATACTCTAAATCAGGGATCTTGCAATCATATTGGGTGGCTGTTCCCAATCCCTGGGTACTGATGAAGTTAGGATGTTGAATGCAGCTTCTCCCCTCCCCCTCCCCTTCCACAGATACAGGAAGAAAGAGAATTGGAAACAATGGACTCATCTACCTTCCCCTGTTCCCCAACCCTTCCCACCCTAATCAATGATCCACATTGGCATGCACCATTCAACTAAGTAATCATTAAAAATAAGTAACCATCCATCCATTGAGAAGAAGCTAGTTGACATCCTTCAGGAGATTCAAAATCAGTCAAGCACATTGAGGGGTTTAGAAAGCCACAGGCATGATCCAGGAAGCTGCATGGCAGGAGAGACCAAATACAACCTCAGTGGTCCAATTCATGCTGGTCCATTAGTGTAGAACAAGGCTAGCTCAGTGCTGAAGGATTGCCTGGCAGGGAAATACCTTGCAAAGATGAAGAGATCCTGCAATTCAGACAAACCTCACTCAACACGCAAGCTGAACACAAGGAACAGCAAGAATATCACGCAAAAAGGGAAAGTCTTAGCAAAACTCGTTGAAGAAAAAAGGTGTTATGACCTTAACTGTTAGAAACAGCTATCAAAGAAAAAATTCCTGGGTAAGTAGAAGCAGCCAGTGTTCAGAGACACGGTTCAAGACCCAGCTGCTCCACTTGTGACGCAGCTCCAGCTGAAGCACCAGTGAAGCAGGTGCTTGGAGCCCTGCACCCATATGGGAGACCTGGATGCATCTCAGGTTCCAGACATTGTAGCC